TTACAGACTCCCCTAACCCAGAAATAGTACCTTGGGTTAAGAACTTTGCTTCAGGATGAGAACAGAAATTGTGCTCTGGCGCCGCGGCAGCAGCAGGAGGCCCCATTAGCTAAAGTCGTGCTTCAGGTTAAGAACAGTTTCAGGTTAAGAACGGACCTCCGGAACGAATTAAGTTCTTAACCAGAGGTACCACTGTATATGCAAGGTGTTAAACAACTCTTAGCATGCATTAAGGAAAGGAACCGGAGATATGTGCATCTGAAAGAAAAGGTTGAGGCAGGGTGTGTTTGATCAGAATGCTTCTCTTAGAGGAAAGAGCTGGTCTGAGGAAGCAACATAAGACCCAGACCAAACCTGTCTGCATCTGAGCCTATCAGATGTGCTTGGGGAAGGTTTTGCATAGAATCCCGGTAGTGCTAGGATCCCTCCCCTCCCCACACCTGACATCCTGAGATGAAGGAAAGCGGAGAAGGATTTATAGAAGCTATCTCCTGATCCTATGGCCCATTCTTGGATTTGAAGGATTGAAGTCACTGCCAATCAGCTGACAGGCAACAAATTTAAGCTTGCTTTCTGCAGGGATTGCCTGGGCAAACAGAGTTCCCTGTGCAGAACCGTCACATAGCTGATCCAGCCCCGTGCCTGATGACATATGTCTGGTGCAAGGCAGGTGAGAGTGGTTTAGGGGGAAACAGCCTCGTGGGCCAAACAGAGACCCTTCCTGGGCCATATTTGGCCCCTTAGGTCAGAGGTTCCCTACTCCTGCACTAGACAATACTAGAAGGACTGACCAGATAGAAGGAATCTTCCTCCCCCCTTTCTTTCTAGTGGACTGGGCCTGCCATTTATTCCGTCCCATTATGCACAGGAGAGCACCTCCTTCCTAATGACTGAGTACACTAACCATTTATAGCAGTTTCCCCAATATATAATGAAATGAAAAAAATGTTCAGATATTCATTTAGGAAAACATCAGAAGGTTTTCTATTGGGAGTAGTACCAGGAAGTCTAAAGGAAGAAGACAAGACATTATATTTATAAGCAACACTAGCCGCAAGGCTATTGACTGCGAAAAATTGGAAAAGTGGTATAATACCGACAAAAACAGAGTGGCTTGCCAAATTATTGGAGTATTACAATATGTCCAAAACAATGGGAGAAATTGGAAGGATCTCAAAAGAGAAGATAGACAAGGACTGGAAGGTGTTTAAAGGATACTTGCAAAATCATATTGAAAAATCAGAACTCCTATTAGAATAAACAAATTTCGTTATAAATACTGAAATACTAAATAAAATGGATAACAATGTGTAACAGAAAAATAAATAGAAAACTTGGTTTTAAAGCGTGTGAAAGAAAGTAATAGAAGTGGAAAGAAATTGCAATTGAGTAGATTGGAAGTCTAACACAAGGGTGGGGTGAGGGGTGAGGGATGGTGGTGGGAAAAGGAAGTATCTGTGGGATTGAGTGTGGGTATGTATGAATATTTTTAAGGATTGTATGAAATGTATGTTTGTTTGTATATTCGTAATATGTGTGTATTAATGTTGAATTATTTTAATAATAATTTTTTAAAACAAAACCCCCATTTATAGCAGTTTCCCAACCTTGGGCATGGAACTAAATCACTCCTACTTTCCTATCTAGTCTCCCTCTCTCTCTGTTTTGCTCATCAGGAGATAAAAAGAACCCTATTTCAGAGGAGATGCACATTCATCGAGACAGAGAGGAAATAGTGTTTATCCTTCTTTCATGTCCAAAGCTGCTCAGAAGTGACTTTTCCATACAGAACTATCTCCCATCCAGCACCTGTTAATTCTCACTCCTACAAGAAGTAAGCCATGAAACAAAAAATGACTTGGAGGACATTTCTGATCATTTATCAAATAATGTATCAGAAATTCCTTCTCGTAATTGCAACGCCACACTTGTGCATGGATGTTCCCCCGGTGCTTGCTCTGCTCCCGAGCAAATGAGATCACTTGCCTTGTGTAATCTTAGCCTTGTGAAGTGTCATGCCTTCTGTAGCTTCTAAAATGATTCCAACATAATAATCAAGGAGATTGACAAAGGAGGACTCTTTCTGTTATGAAGAAGTCTGATTACATGTGGCAAGCTCAGACAGCTTTCCAATACAACTTGGTGCTGAACACTGATTGATGGCCCCAATGAGCCATACTGTATGAACTGGCAAAACAAGAAAATCACCATGGCCCTACCTTAGAAATGTTAACCAGGATTTTTCTATGTACTTCCCCAAATCCATGAATTTGGTCATTCAGGGCACTCATTATTTCAGAAATAGATGAATACTCTGACAGCGGAGACAACAGCATGTGAGTTCAGTCCATGTTGCAAAAATGATCTGAGCTGTTCCACTTTTCTCCAATAAACCTTCCCCAGAAATTATTATCCTGGGGGTCACAGATGTGCTTGTTACACCCAAAATCAAAAGTGTATTGTGTGGGAGGAAGGACTGGATATAAATCCAATCAATCAATCAATCAATCAATCAATCAATCAATCAATGTATTGAGGCTGAATTCCTCTGTTTCTGCTGCCACCACTAAAGGTTATATTACAGAAGTTACTTACGTTCCGGGGATTTGTGGGGCAAGGATTATTATATGCTGTACAATTTATGGTCAGGAAATTGAAGTCTGTCAAAAGAAAAGGCAACTTATAAACTGGGCCAGAGCACCCAGAGGGGATTGGTAAGGGGGCAGTTATTAACAGAACAAAAATATATATAAACATTAAAAGAGAGCTACTACCAGGCAGATTGTGATGAAAACTGTTTATTGTTCAGCAATAAATCATCATCCAGAGCACAGGAGTGAGGGACTGAAATGGGATGAGTGGCACAGGAAAGCTCACTGCAGGAGCTGTGTGTCCAGGCAGGCTGCAAACGGTAATTGAAAGCCTAAATAACAGGGTGGGGGGTTTCTGCTGTGGCTTTCTTCTCCCTCCCTAACATCATCATCATCATCATCATCATCATCATCATCAAAGCTTTATTGGCATCACATACAAACATTCAGAATAAATAGGCCAGTGCGATCTCATCGCCATTTCAACAGTACAGTCATTTGCCAAAGGGAAGAAGAGGTGAGCAATCTATTCCCTCCCTAACATAATGTTAACAAAATTACAAGATGGTTAAGGAGAGCAACCACTGCAAATGGATGGAGGCTGGTACCTAACCTTGTATTGCTCATTATACTGTACTTAAAGTTATAAAAAAGCTTCCATGGGGATGCTGCAGCATAAAAATATGTATACCCATTCTAGTTAATAACTCTATTATTATGGATGGAGGAGGAATCCCTTTTCAATGGATTTAACTACCCCATTGAGCTTGGCCAACAAGTGTCCCCACACCTGCAATTCTCAACTACTCATATAGAAAGGCATAAGGCCTCTGACAATGGACTGTCAGGGTCTGGGCAGAGGAGGAATGGTGGAGACCGCCTCCCCATCCTGACCCTTCCAAGGAGGAGGAAGAGGAAGACAGTATAGATTTACAAAAGGGGTTTGAGAGAAGGCTGCAGCTCAGAAGCAGATTAGGGGGAAAGCTGGGAAATCATGGGAGAGCCTTCCAGACCCACCATCTCCCAGAACCTGGCAAGCCTTAAAAGTAGGAGAGCAAAGAGCTCAAAGACAGAGGGCACTTAGTGGCACCTGTAGATGAGGTGATGAGGTTGACGAATGAGGAAGTGGGAGAGACAGGTGGTGGAGATTCACTCATGACAACACCATTATCCAAGAGGCTGGGTTCTATAGCCTTTCTCTGTAAAGTTTGAAATAAAAAAAGACTGTATGAAACTTTTCTTTGTCTTTATACTATTCTGGGCAACGAGCCAGGATCCTGACAGCAGGGAGCAGAGAGCAATAGCCATTCAAATTACCTACCTTCCAACTTTCTTGAGAAAGGAAATGTGATTGTATGAATCCATCCCAAAGTCACACATAAAGTTGATTATTTGATGGATACAGGGCTGTGACTGTATATCTATTGGCCTCAACTTGATGGGTTACAAACTGGCAAACCAATCTAAAAATTTTCCCAATGGTATAAATTAATATGTCCCCCAAATAAAACTATCCATCACCTATTATGGAGATCCATCTTGACAGGGCTGAGATGCAGTCTGACTGTTAACTGTTTCTGGCTTTACCAAGACTTAAAGCAGATCCTCTTTGTGACCTCACACTTGACATCAGAATGCCATGTTTGCATTCAACCTAGACTATCTCCATGCCAACAGCAATGGCCAGTAAATTTCTGCAACTAAGTAACCATCAGCCTGACTACCCAGTTGTTTCTATCTAGACTATTGGATGTTTATTTTTTGCTCTCATAATCAAAGCCTGAAGAAGAGCTGTGTATAATCTGAAAACCTGCTTCCACTGTTAAAGAAAACTAATTGTCAGAGACTGGGCAGAGGAGGAATGGTGGAGACCCTCTCCCCATCCTGACCTTCCAGGGAGGAGGAAAAGGAAGAAAGTTTAGATTTGCAACAGGGGTTTGAGGGAGGTAGTAGTTCAGAGGCAGATGGGGGGAAGAATTGGGAAATCATGGGAGAGTCAGAACAACACCCGGCTGACACGGTGTCATTAGAAAGCATTCCAGACCCTCCATCTCCCAGAACCCGGCGAGCCTTAAAAGTAGGAGAGCAAAGAGCTCAAAAACAGACGACACGTAGCAGCACCCGTAGAGGAGATGATGAGAATGACGAATGAAGAAGTGGGAGAGACGGGGGGGGGGGCATGTGGGTGGAGATTCACTCGGAACAATGCCATTATCCAAGAGGCTGGGTTCTATAGCCTCTCTATGTAAAGACTGAAATAAAAAGGACGGTAAGAAACTTTTCCTTGTCTTTATACTATCCTGTCAGGTGTGGAGAGTCCTCTCCCCCTCTTGTAGCATCAAAGGCAAGAATAACAAGCAGTTCATATTTTATAGACCCTTTTATTCAGTCATCTGGTTGCAAGACAAGAATCCATATCTCCACACAAAGAGAGATGTTGGCTACTCTAACCCCACCTCTTCTGTCCCCAACAACATCCTGAGCGCCAATGGGAAGTCTCAGGAGTCCCACCCCTCTGCCTTCTCTGTTCTAGAATGTGGAGGGACCAACGGGCCTGAGAAGATGGAGGATCCCCCCATACTCTCCAGGGAGGTCTCTGCCAGCTGTGCTCTCACCCCCCCTTCCTCCTCCATTATCTCATAACTAGGCAAGTCTTCCATGAATGGTATAGCATCTCTCTCTCTCTCTCTCTCCTCTTGAAAATGCTGTAGACAAGGGGAAGGCAAAGCTTCCCCATCCTCCTCTTCGAAGGGAAGCTGATCAGACTGAGCACACACTTCCCAGTCTTCCTGTTCCAACCGTTCCCTGACATTTCATGGGCAACTAGCCAGGAGCCACTGATAGCATCCTGACATGGACATAGAACAAAGCCATAAAGGCTACTAGCCATTAAAGATGTATTTGTTGTTGTTGTTTAGTCATTTAGTCGTGTCCGACTCTTCGTGACCCCATGGACCAGAGCATGCCAGGCACTTCTGTCTTCCACTGCCTCCCGCAGTTTGGTCAAACTCATGCTGGTAGCTTCGAGAACACTATCCAACCATCTCGTCCTCTGTCGTACCCTTCTCCTTGTGCCCTCCATCTTTCCCAACATTAAGGTCTTTTCCAGGGAGTCTTCTCTTCTCATGAGGTGGCCAAAGTATTGGAGCCTCAGCTTCAGGATCTGTCCTTCCAGTGAGCATTCAGGGCTGATTTCCTTCAGAATGGATAGGTTTGATCTTCTTGCAGTCCATGGGACTCTCAAGAGTCTCCTCCAGCACCATAATTCAAAAGCATCAATTCTTCGGCGATCAGCCTTCTTTATGGTCCAGCTCTCACTTCCATAGATCACTATTGGGAAAACCATGGCTTTAACTATACAGACCCTTGAAGATGTATTATCCTCTTGTAAATATATCCAGTTTGGTGGTGGTTACTACATCTTGTGGGAGCAAATTACATAGCCAGTTTCCCACCCCCCTAGAAAACCTCCCTTGTTCTCTTAGAATGGCAATGGCACCTGCCTGAGAGGTGCCGGAAATGTCTTCCGGCCCGTTCTAGCTGAAAAGGAAAGCCCTGGTTCAACCATGTGCTGTTCAGCTAAGGCCTTTTATCCATCCTGAATCTTCCATTCAGCTGGATGGACTTGAGTCCTACTAGTAGGAGAGAGAGAGTATTTTGCTTGTATGGCGGATTGGGGAAATAGCAGCAAACAGTGTAAGAGGACTATCTCTCTTCAGAGGGAGGAGGTATGAAACTCTGTGTGATATGATACACTTGTGGGACATGGGGGCATTTCTTTCTTTCTTTTTCACATTTCCAATTGTGCACTGAAGTCTTGTAGGAGGAGCATGGGGAGCCGTTGTGTATATGCCCTCAATGAAATGTAAAAACAAGGGAGCTATCACCACAAATCATTTCTTACAAGCTATGCTGTAATTTTTGTTTTCAGAGATGCTGTTATGCCAGAGTCTGAACATGCAGTGGGAATGATAATGGCTGGAGTTGCGGAGTTTTGTCCCAGTTATCTTGAATAACGGTAGGTAGATCTTCAGGAAAGAGGTCCCTTCAATGGGAGACATGTATACATTGCAAAATTAAAGAATGTTAGAGTGATGTTGGATTGAAAACAAGAGGCCTCCAGCTGTACAGGATTTAAAGTTATAGATAGATTAGGATTAAGGATTAGGATTAAAAAAGTTTAAGGAAATGGAAATTTGGTTTTTAAGAGGTAAAATTTTAATGTTATATTATATTAAGATTAAAGATTAGGATTAAAAAAGAGGGAAAGAAATTGCTGGACAAACAATTTGAACTGGAATACAAAAGAGGGAGGTACGAGGAGGTCCAGAAAATAAGTAAACTTAAAAATGGAGATGAAAAGGTGATTTTGTTTTTAACTGTTTTTTTTCTTTTCTTTTTTGTCTTTTGTTTTTTGTTCTTTTTTCTTTTTTTGGATTATGTATGTAATTTTGAATTGTGTATTTTTCCCCCCTATGTTTTCATGTTTAACCTTTTATTGATGTGTTCTTTTTATTGGAAAATTTAATAAATATCATTAAAAAAAAATCAATGGGAGACAGGTATAATGCAGAAGATAAGGAATATAATATAAGCCAGAACAGTTTCACAGGAAATTTAATTGTCCTCAGGTGTTCAGAACTAAGGACAGCTACCTACCAATAATTTATATATAGGCATCTAGTCAATTAGTGAGTTAGATGTTGTTCATAATCCCCATTTGGGATCCAGCTGCAGCATCATGGAAACCAAAGGTCAGAAAGGTTTGTTCTCATTTTTAACATTTTCCTTTTTCTTTGCACAGTACTTCTACTTCCCAGGGAACAGTAGGAACAAACTTCACCACAAGTTACTCCGATTCAATGAAGCTGAACTCCTCATTACGTACTTTGCTGCGTCTCTGCTGGCCAGGGTCCCTTAGTGGAGAGGAACAGCTTTTTATAGTGCATCTAAAGTGACCTTGGGCAAAGTAGCTGTATATTGGGTCAATTTCATGAAAAGACACCATTCAGACATTTTTCAATACAAACACACACATGGAGAGATCCTTACCGTGTGTCCCACCAATAGCTAGAAATCCTCTAGAGCCCAACCACATACAGCGATCTTTACTGAAGGTAAAAACCAAACCACAGCTTCAATTCTAGTCTCTCTCTAAAAGATTATTTTTCATAAAGGTTTTACACTATCAGCCTCTATTACTTACGATCTGATGATATGGAATAGACATAGGCTTCTTCACTGCAGATATCAGCTGACCTCAGCAGATTCCTTGCTCTCATTTTAGTCTTTTCCAAAATTCTAGTAAAGCTGCTGCTATCTCCACTTAGGGATATCTCGCTAGTATCCAGTACGATTGCTGATCCTTGGACGCCTTCCCTATAAAGAGTGGTGTGAAACAGGGCTGTGTTCTCACCCCCAGCTCTCTCTTTGGAATACGTGCTCTATGAGGAGCTGGCTTCAGGTACCAGGTCCATTGGCAGACCTACTCTGTGTTGCAAAGACGTCTGATATAATAATAATAATAATAATAATAATAATAATAATAATAATAATTTATTATTTGTGACCTAGCTGAGTCTAGGAATACAATTCTGTGGTATTAACCAGCCCTATGCTTGCTAATTATATTTGACTGCAATTTCCCACAAAAAGTCCTATTAATGCCCCAGTCCTAAACACTTATGTAGGTCTACTGCCCCACAATCATACCATAATACTAATAGCTTAACTTGGTCCCGTAAGTGGCATATACTGTATATTCTTGTGCCTCATCCTCAGGAATTACATGCTTGTATGTCATAGGTTAGGCTATAAGTATCTTAGTCTCCTTTATAGATGGAAATTGGTGGTTTCTCAGGCTTGATGTCTACAGTTCAGTTGCATTCTCAACGTCTCACTGGAGTTAATTGTAAGCAGCCTGGGGACTGCAGCCACATTCTGCCTGACAAATGCAGCAAATTTAAAAACTAATGAATGAAATCAAGTGTGTATTATAGAAGCAAGACATCAGGGCTTCAAAATAAGAGATGATATTTAAAAGATGGATGCAAATCACCTTATTTAAGGAAAATGGATTATTCGCTTGAGCAAGGCAAACAGGATTGAGACTTTGCGGTATAAGGTGCTTTTGTCTAATTTAGGCTACAAAAGAATAGTTACTGATATATTTTTTTTTAAAAAAGCAGCTGAACACTGACTTATTTTCAGAGGGTCCACATAATTCTTTCAAAGGACTTTATAAAGCAGGCCAGCTGGATATAACTGCAATGAAATGGGATTATCTGCAAGTGTAGCCATCCTAGAATTGACATGGATATTGTCACATTATAAAAAATTTTAGATTTTTTTAAAAACTAATCATTTAGCATTCTTTTTCCAAATGTTGCTCATCAGAAGATAGCAAACTGTTAAGTCTCCAAGAAATGTGATCCTACTACAGTATTTTGTCAGTCTGGTGCATCTCAGTGCTTCTGAGCAGGTAGTAGCAGATTAAACAGCAAAGACTGAATCTCTCTCAATATACAATGTTGTGAAATAATTGGAATGATACTAGTCAAGGCAGCAAAGTCTGTAATCTTATTCCCACTTATTTTGGAGGAAGCCCCATTAAACTCAACAGGGCACACTTCTGAGTAGAAATGCATAGAATTGCATTGTAAACCTTCCACTAACTTAACCCTGGACTGACTTACTCACACTTACATGTTAATAACTTTCTAATTGACTGGTGTCTGGGAATGAATGTTCCATAACAGTGTGGGACGCTGGTGGAGCTGTGGTCTAAACCACTGAGCCCCTTGGGCCTGTTGATCAGAAGGTTGGAGGTTTGAATCCTGCAACGGGGTGAGCTCCCATTGCTCGGTCCCAGCTCCTGCCAACCTAGCACTTTGAAAGCACACCAGTGCAAGTAGATAAATAAGTACCGCTGCAGCTGGAAGGTAAACGGCATTTCCGTGCGCTCTGGTTTCTGTCACAGTGTTCCGTTGCACCAAAAGCGGTTTAGTCATGCTGGCCACATGACCTGGATAGCTGTCTGTGGACAAACACCAGCTCCCTTGGCCTGAAAGTGAGATGAGCGCCGCAACCCCATAGTCGCCTTTGACTGGACTTAACCATCCAGGGGTATTTTCCCTTTACCCATAACAGTACTTCCCTATTGCTCCATGCCAGTTCAATCACAGTGCCTTTCAATGGAGAAAACTCAGACATTTGACTGTAATCAGGTGACAGGATTTCCCATGTTGCACATGAATATGGATAAACCAGTTCCCAGGTTCCTCAAAATCCAACACACACAGAAAGGTAGCACATCCCCTAGGACCCCTAGAACAGAGTCAGAGGTTATGTGGGGAGAGGAATGCAGGGGTGGGTGGTGGGTGGGAGAAGTCTCATTTTGGAAGTGATGCTTGTACTGATTGGACCCATTCCTCAGCATCACTTGGGATGCAAACCAAAACTTTTTTATTATTATAATGCTTCTGAAATATGCCCGGATTTTGATTTGAAAGGAGGGTACCCTATTCTTGTGGCACAGTTGCTGTGGTTCCCCACTTTGGCAGTGACACAGGCAAAATTAAAGACAACATCATAACACACACACACACACCCTATTTTGGGAGGAAACTTTTGGCATGGCCAGAGCATGGGAGCCCAAATGGGACATCTGGGATTGGAATCAGAAGCCGCTCCATCAATCTGGGATGTCCCGATTAAATCAGGACACTTGGGGGTATGCAAAATTAGTAATATTTGTCTCTATTCCAGCATTCTTTGGCCACCTCATGAGAAGACTCCTTGGAAAAGACCCTGATGTTGGGAAAGATGGAGGGCACAAGGAGAAGGGGACGACAGAGGACAAGATGGTTGGACAGTGTTCTCGAAGCTACCAGCATGAGTTTGACCAAAATGCAGGAGGCAGTGGAAGACAGGAGTGCCTGGTGTGCTCTGGTCCATGGGGTCACGAAGAGTCGGACACGAATAAACAACAACAACAACATTTTCATTGGAGAAATGTTGGAGGATATGGAGTTATGCAACCCCCGAGCCAAGGAGACAAGCAGCTCTGCAACCTTTGCAAGAAATCTGAAGGCAACCCTGTATAGAGAAGTTTTTAAATTAGTTTTAATGTTTTCAATATGTTGGAAGCTGCCCAGAGTGGTGGGGAAGCCCAGTCAGATGAGCGGGCTATTAATAATAAAACTATTATTGTTGTTATTATGGAATAGGACGTCCCTATTTCCATTGGAGGAATGTTGGAGGGTATGTCACTGATGTCACTTCCGGATGACCTTTTTATTAAGCATTTGTTCTGACTGGTTTGCAGGGAGATTCAATGACACCAACTATTTATTGAGTGTTCATCCTGATTTGTCTGTTGGAAGGTTAGATGGCATTGCATCAAGCAAATGTTATTCCCACACTTCCAAGTACATCTCCTCATCACTTTCCTTATTGCAAAAGGTCTGATTTGGGGTGTTCATGTGTGCAAGAGCTCAAAATCAATGTTAATTGTGCAACCTACATTTGCTGAAATTTGCCCTTGGATGTTGCAATTGAACAGACTTCCAAGGATATGTCAACATGGCCCCAGATCCAGTAAATTGTAAGTTGAGACTAAGGTCCACTGAAACCATCAAATCTGGTTAGCTGCAATCCTGCCAACACTTACCTGGGAGTAAGCTTCATTTAAGTAATTAAATAAAGGTTTACATCTTACATTGCTAGGAATGTGCTACAAGATTCAAACTATATGTTTCATATAAATGTGTGGAACGGTAAACCAAAAAACCAATTAGGTGCCATAAGGGCTTGCCGTTCAGTTCCATGCCATAGTTTTTGTCCTACAGCTTAAGGGAGGAGTTTTGAAGAACAAACCATGAAAAGCGGCCAAAAATCTAGCTGCTGGTTAACTTATTCTGTGTGGCAAGATGACTGGGCTCTCTTCCCATTCGATGCGGCAGTTTATTTTTTCGAAAGAAAAAGTATGTGTTTCAGCTGTATTTTTCTTTTATATTAAGCAGCATGGTTTTAATGAGGATGCAAAGGAATATATTAGAAGAAGAGCTTATTAGGAGCACAACAGTCACTTTTTTTGCTGATTTTAATAGTTCTGTAGGGAATATACAAAGCCAGTTTGCTTTATTGTTTATAGAAATTAATGAATCTACTCAACTGGTCTAAGATATGGAGGACAATCAAGGGGAAGATGAACAACAGAAAGGGAGAGGAATTATTATTACTGACTGTAGGTCTCCTTGATGTCTGGGTTCAAACCTAATAGACTTCATCATATGTCATCTGCTCCTGATTTAATGCTGGAATGTTGTTGTTGTTGTTTAGTCGTTTAGTCATGTCCGACTCTTCGTGATGCCCTGGACCAGAGGTACAGGCACTCCTGTCAATCTTTCCCAACATCAGGGTCTTTTCCAGGGAGTCTTCTCTTCTCATGAGGTGGCCAAAGTATTGGAGCCTCAGAGTCACGATCTGTCCTTCCGGTGAGCACTCAGGGCTGATTTCCTTCAGAATCCATAGGTTTGATCTTCTTGCAGTCCATGGGACTCTCCAGCACCATAATTCAAGAGCATCAATTCCTTGGCTATCAGCCTTCTTTATGATCCAACTCTCACTTCCATACATCACTACTGGGAAAACCATAGCTTTAACTATACAGACCTTTGTTGGCAAGGTGATGTCTCTGCTTTTTAAGATCCAATGAAAATAGGGACATCCTAAGCAAAAGGGGGGACATTCCAGGATCAAATCAGAAACCGGGACAGCTTCTGTAAATCTGGGAGTGTCCCTGGGGAAAAAAGGACACTTTGAGAGTCTGTAGTGAAAAGAAAAGCATATCGGTCAAGTTATAAATACACAGCTTTGATTTGCTGCTTCCCTACATGGGGCTTTGGAGCCTAATCCAAGATCCCAAGGAAGCGAGAAGAAAAGTTAGGAATTGTGATTCCCTATCCCCCAGGTGGAAGCAAGCATCACTGGATGCAGGTAAAAAGCTTCAGGTTTGCTAACACTCTTCTTATTTAATTACATGCCTGAATGAGTCGCAGGAACTCCTTGTGCTCCGGGTCTTTTGATAGCCTTGCAGACTGCCTAAGGCCTCAAACTGCTTATCCAATGGATTCTCTTATTTAATCATTTATATTTGGTAATAAATAAGGCCTGACCAAATGTAACATTTATTAGTAGTTTCTCCCAGGCTGAATTCATTATAGCAGTAGCTTGGAATCAACATTGCATACAAGGTAAATCAACTGTGAAGTGGAATATGGTGCAGAGCCTAAGTACTTCTTTAGTTTTCACCATCCCCACCCCGTTACTTCTCAAGATCTGGAAAGGTATAACTCAAATTTAGAGTTTTAGACAAACACATCTCTGGAGTTACTCTGCTGAATTTGGGAGTTATGTGACAGAGATGGATCTTTGTAGGTCTTACTTTGTTTTCTCGGTGCCAGAAAACATTGCTGTTCAGAACAGGAAACAGAGCCAGAAATTAGTATATTTTGCCATGCTCGTTTTACATTTGGGTACTGGGAAAAGGAGGCATTAATGCCCATTTGTGAGGTACTCAAGGTGAATATACATGACATTTTAGTGCCCCCTTTTTACCTTGAATATTCTTTTCACATGTTCAGAAACTCATTGCCCCTATTTGGCTTTTGGGGGAGATTTTGGATTTTTGTTTTAAAAACAAGAACATACCAAATATACTTAATATGAACACAAAATGCACTAGATTCACTGCTACGTCATCCCACATAACTGCCTGTCAAGAGAATAAATGTACAGAAATTTATTCATGTATGCGACGACAGCAGAAAGAATGTTACTTGCCCCAAAAATGGAAAGAAGCAGAAGTCCCAGCAAAAGAAGAATTGATACGAAAACTTCTGGCATATGCAGAAATGGCAAAACTTACAGGAAAAAATAAGAAATCAAGATAGCAAACTTTTTATAAAAGAATGGAAATGGTTTATTGAATGTTTACAAATAAATTGTAAACAGATAAGAAGGTTGGCAGGATTATTGTAATAACCTGCAGTTTTATAAGAATATATGTTTATAGTAGATGAATAAATGAGGAAATTAAGTTAATTTGGATATGCAGAAAATATTAAAAATAAATTTAAGGAACCGCAGAAAGAGGGGAAGGACGTCAAGTTTTGAAATGTTAAAATGATTACAGAATTATTGAAATGCATAAAATTGAAAGTCATAAATAAAATATTTTTTGTAGGGAAAAAGAGAATAAATGTTGGATATGTTTGTAGCTATTCTACTGAACTCATTTGTCAGGTTTAATATGTTCAGAAATAATTGAAAGACCATACAAAAGAAAAGAAAAAGAAAACACACTATGGCCATTGTGTGGATGTCGTCATTATACCATTTAGGCACCGGGTGACATGGGACTTAATTGTATATGGGCGAAGTCAGGAGACTCCTGTCTTATGTAAACTAAATATTTTGTTCATTTCAGGTAAATTAAAAGAAAGGATGTTAAGGATAATGGTTTACCGTATTTTTCGCCCCATAAGGCGCACCGGCCCACAGGACGCACCTAGTTTCTTTGGGGGGAGAAATAAAGAAAAAAAATTTATCCCCCCCCCCCAGGCACGGGGCTGGGGCGGGAAGCTGTCCCCCGAGCTTGCGGGGCTGGCGACGGGGAGGAGCAAGCTTCTCCCTGCTGCCAGCCTCCAAACCAGGTCGGGGGACAGCAGGATGGCGGCGTTCTGCCTCCCCGCTGTCCCCCGAGCTTGTGGGGCTGGCGGTGGGGCTCTCCTGAAGCCTGTATTCATTTGCCCCATAGGACGCACACACATTTCACCTTCATTTTTGGAGGGGGAAAAATGCGTCCTATAGGGCGAAAAATGTGGTAATTTCCTGAAATGGGAATGTTGCTTATGTTGAATTGCTGTGTGTTTTTAGCATGGTTTTTACTCCCCCTTTGGCAGAAGCTCTCTCATGTGATTGGATGACTGTGAGTCACATGAGAGAGGCAATCCATTTTGTTGTGACTGTTATTCAAGTAACTTTCGTTTTTAACTGCTTTCTGTTCTCTCTGTGTGTGATGAGGTGGAATGGCTGCTGAGAGAGGTTTCTCTGGATGCTGATGAGAACACTGTGAGTTAGTATGACCTGTCTGGGATGAAGAAGACAGAGTAAGATCCCTTAATGTCAGTAGGGAGAAACCTGTGCTCTCTATAAGGAACAAAGTGAATACGCTTGAGATTGTAGGTATGTTCTTCTCGGTTATATGTTTATGAAAGCAAAGTTCTTTTGAATATAAAGAGTCTGGATATTGCATAGCATCCAAATTTATATATAAAACAGGTGGCATGGGAATTAATTGTATATGGATGAAGTCAGGAGTTTCCTGGGTCTGTTTTGCTCTGGTCTAAGAAAGACAATGGGATGCGGGTGGCGCTGTGGGTTAAACCACAGAGCCTAGGGCTTGCCGATCAGAAGGTCGGCGGTACGAATCCCTGCAATAGGGTGAGCTCCCGTTCGGTCCCAGCTCCTGCCAACCTAGCTGTTCAAAAGCACGTCAAAGTGCAAGTAGATAAATAGGTACCCCTCTGGCGGGAAGGTAAACAGCGTTTCCAAGCACTGCTCTGGTTCGCCAGAAGCAGCTTAGTCATGCTGGCCACATGACCCGGAAGCTGTCTGCGGACAAACACTGGCTCCCTCAGCCAGTAAAGCGAGATGAGCGCAACAACCCCAGAGTCGTCTGTGACTGGACCTAATGTTCAGGGTTCCTTTTACCTTTACCTTTAAGAAAGACAATAAAATTCCTGTCTAGATTTCTGGCTAGCATGTATTCTGACTAAGCCTTCAATGAGTGCTTTCAATTACAAGCTAAGCTGCAGTCAATGAACATCACATAAGGCAGTCTTCAGCAATGTGTGGTGTTGTTGTTTAGAACACCTCTTCTTGATTGGAGGCTATCATTTTGTTTTCCACAGTGGTCAACAGATGCCTATGGGGATCCTAGGGATACAAGTTTCCCAAACCTTCTAAAATCCCACACACACCCTCAACTCGGGTTCTGCAAGCTTATTTCTTTTATTCCACCGGGGGGGGGGTGTCCCCCAGTAAGAGAGGCAGAGCATGGGAACTGGGTCTGAGTCTTTTGTTGACTGAAGGGAAATTATGGGCTTACTTGCCTTCAGTCAGCTGAAGCACCCACTGAGTGAGAAGAATCTTGATAGACCATCCTCACCTAATGAGAGTTCTTAGGGAACAGTAATGGTCTCCCCTGGATTAGAGGGTGCCATTGTGGCTGCATAAGGACTGATACCCAGAGAATTCAGCTTGCTGTTGGTATATAAGATGATGCCTGGTGTACAGGAAAGAGATCATTTCAGGCTTTATTTCTAGAAAGTTCATGATCTTTATATGCACATAAATGTCTAGCTCCCATGTTTCCGCATCGCAGAATATTAAGTAGCCTTCTTGGCCAATTATAAAGTTTTTTTATCCCGTCAAGCCAAAGTTCCTTTTTCCATTTTCTCGTAGATTGTTTATCTCGCAAGACATGGGAATTGGTTTGATGTCTGCGCGGTTCATGAATGTGGATGTTAAGCTGCTTGTGTGTGCGGATTAAATTCTCTTTGCATACAAATAACAGAAAAATAAATCTCCCTTTTCATGTCGTAACATGCATATAGAATTAATTGATTTGTAAGCACAGCTATCTCCTTTCCAAAACAGGGTGCTGAGGAAAACGCAAAAATTAAGGGTTTAGCACAAAGATTAAAATGGAATCTGAATTTCTCTGTCTCTCTCTTTGAGTAGCATTAATGCCTTTCTAAATAAGCCAGCCAGTAAAATCCACGAGACACTGTTGCAACAGCCTTCAGTTTTAATGGTATACTTGCTAGAACATTCTGAAAGTGAGTGAAGATTGTTCAGCATTCATGCCTGAAGGACTGGGCCAATGAGTCGCCACTAAACATTTGCCCAATGTAAAATTAGAAGTGAATTGGGGTTTCCCCTTCAGGAGAAACTTCAGAGGAATGTCAAAGGAAAACAAATGGGTTTAGATGATAACAAGAATTTTTTTGATTAGCCTGACCAGCTTTCCCCTCTATCTGCAGTGCAGATGGTGAAGACCAAGGAAGGCTGATTTTAGAATATGAGCAGCTGTTGGAGAGGTCATTCGGTAAAAAATATAAGATATTTATTAAGATTTTCCAAATGTTACAATATAAAAATGAAAAAGAAGGAAAAAAAAGAAAAAAATACAAATTACAAAATAAAAATGATTAAAAACCACTCAATTTTTCCATTACTTATTTTTCCTTAGCTTGTTTCCCGGACCTCCTCATACAGTGGTGCCTCGCAAGACGAAATTAATTCGTTCCGCAAGTCTCTTCGTCTTGCGAGTTTTTCGTCTTGCGATGCACGGTTTCCCATAGGAATGCATTGAAAATCAATTAATGCGTTCCTAGGGAAACCGCCTTCAGACCAGGTCCGGGGACAGTCTGTCCCCGGACCTCTTCTGAAGGCTGGGGGGGGGCAAGGGCTTTTCTTCCCACCCCCAGCATTTTAAAACCCCGGGACAGCGGAGGACTTCTCCGCTGTCCGGGCGATCTTAAAATGCTGGCGGGCGGCATTTTAAAATCACCCGGGACAGCGGAGGACTTCTCCGCTGTCCGGGGCAATCTAAAGCCCCTGGGAAGGCAGGCAGGGGGACAAAGACTTTTGCCCCCGCCAGCCTTCAGAAGAGGTCCTGGACCTCTTCTGAAGGCGGGCGGGGGCGAAAGTCTTGCTCCCCGCCTCAAAGCCCTCCGGGACAGGCAGGCAGGGGAGCAAAGACTTCGCCCTCCGCCCGCCTTCAGAAGGTCTTCCCTCCCCCGCCCGGCTCGGAGCACCGTTCCGGCCGGGCGGCGGCGGAGGTCTTCCCTCCCCCCGCCCGGCTCGGAGCACCGTTCCGAGCCGGGCGGCGGCGGCAGGTGTTCCCTCCCCCGCCCGGCTCGGAGCACCGTTCCGAAGCCGGGCGGCGGGGAGGTCTTCCCTCCCACCGCCCGGCTCGGAGCACTGTTCCGAGCCGGGCGGCGGCGGCAGGTGTTCCCTCCCCCCGCCCGGCTCGGAGCACCGTTCCGAGCCGGGCGGCGGCGGCAGGTCTTCCCTCCCCCGCCCGGCTCGGAGCACCGTTCCGAAGCCGGGCGGCGGGAGGTCTTCCCTCCCACCGCCCGGCCTCGGAGCACCGTTCCGGCCGGGCGGCGGCGGAGGTCTTCCTCCCCCCGCCCGGCTCGGAGCACCGTTCCGGAGCCGGGCGGCGGCGGAGGTCTTCCCTCCCCACCGCCCGGCCCGGAGCACCGTTCCGGGCCGGGCAGAGGCGGAGGTCTTCCCTCCCACCGCCCGGCTCGGAGCACCGTTCCGAGCCGGGCGGCGGCGGAGGTCTTCCCTCCCCCGCCCGGCCGGAGCACCGTTCCGAGCCGGGCGGCGGCGGCAGGTGTTCCTCCCCCCGCCCGGCTTCGGAGGAGCCTTCCGAAGCCCGGCGGCGGCGGGGGGAGGTGTCCCCGCCCCCCCGCCAGGCTTCGGAGGAGGTCCGAGGACAGTGGGGAAGACGCGCTGCGCGTCCCCCCAGTCCCTGAGATTTCCCTATGGGCTGTGGTCTTGCGAAGCAAGCCCAGAGGGAAATTGCTTTATGAAGCGCCTCCAAAACGGAAAACCCTTTCGTCTAGCGGGTTTTCCGTCTTGCGAGGCGTTCGTCTTGCAGGGCACCACTGTACCTCCCTTTTTTGTATTCCAGTTCAATTTGTTGGTTCAGCAAATCCTTACCCTCTTTATTTATCCTAGTCTTTGGTCTTAAAATAATAACGTTAGATTTTTACCTATTAACAACTAAACCACAGAGCCTAGGGCTTGCCAATCAGAAGGTTGGTGGTTCGAATCCCCGCGACAGGGTGAGCTCCCATTGCTCGGTCCCTGCTCCTGCCAACGTAGCAGTTTGAAAGCATGTCAAACTGCAAGTAGATAAATACCGGTAGGTACCGCTCTGGCGGAAAGGTAAACTGTGTTTCCATGCACTGCTCTGGTTCGCCAGAAGAGGCTTAGTCATGCTGGCCACATGACCCGGAAGCTGTAGAGCAAGATGAGTGCCGCTACTCCAGAGTCGTCCGCGACTGGACCTAACGGTCAGGGGTACCTTTACCTTTATTAATTCTAGTTGGTCTACTCTAGGTAGAAAATAAGTTGTATCATAGGTTTTCAGGCAGGTATTGTGGATTTCCTGTGTTTAGGGAATGTTTAATGTTTAATAGACTATGGCATTTTAATATTTTGTTGGAAGCCACCCAGAGTGGCTGGGGAAACCCAGCCAGATGGGCAGGGTATAAATAATAAAATATTATTATTATTATTATTATTATTATTATTATTATTATTATTATTATACTATTGTAGAACATGACTTTAATGTCAGCACTGACTGACGTCACATCTGTGCTATACATTTAAAGTCCTATGATCTATGATACCACTTTAAACTGTCATGGAATCCTGGGAACTGGAGCTTGTTAAGGCTCCTGAGAGTTGTTGGAGGTCCTGACTCCTCCCTCAGAGCTACAATTCCCAGAGCCCCCTGCAAAGAGGGATTGATTGTTAAACCACTTGGAAAATTTTCATTCAGTGAGGGGAACAGGGGCATCCTAACAGCTGTCAGTACCCTTAACAAACTACAGCTCCCAGAGTTCTTTGGGGGAAGCCATTACTGTTTAAAGTAGTATCACAGTGCTTTAAATATATCTTGCAGATAGGGCCTGGGTCAATCTAGATTTGACTTGAATGAGCTTACTTTTTCAAGGAGTTACTCAAGAATGCAAGCCAATAAACCTGTTGTCTACAATGTCCTGGAATAATAAGCCCCATGATAACACTACCCCTTTTGTTGTCCTTTCCATATTGGGAACTCTAGTCTGCTTTTCAGTGCTTGGGGGGAATTTTCAGTGGTGCGCAATATGATGCACTATTAAGCAGTGGTGGAGCTTCATGCTCCGGCACCGGGGGGGAGGAGAGCAGGCGGGGGCGAGGCTGGTGCATGTCCTGGGGGCGTGGTGTACCGCCTGCAGGGCATGGTGCACGTCATGGGGGTGTGGCGCGCTGCCTGCGGGGGTGTGGTGCCCAGCACGGGGGGGGGCAGCTGTGATCGCACCCCACCGGGATCACGCTGCCGGGGGCGGTGCACTCCCCCCGCACTCCTCTTCCTCCACCAGTGCTATTAAGCCAATTGTACAGAATGGGGGTGGATATACAATAACTAGACTCTCAGCGGTTCTCAACCTGTGGGTCCCCAGATGTTGTTGGTCTACAACTCCCATCATCCCTGACCACTGGTTATGCTGGCTAGGAATGATGGGAGTTGTAGTCCAACAACATCTGGGGACCCACAGGTTGAGAAACACTGAACTAGACAGTCTTCAGTATGGTTAGTGAACATAATGAGAACTGGCAAGATCAGATGGATGCACAACAGCTAGCCACTCGCAGCTTTGAACTGGGACTCACAAAGAGCAGCGGTTTTGATTGAGCCAAGCACAGTAACTTCCTTTAAACTGGGACTAATGCACAATGATGATCCAAGTCAACATGCAGAAAATGCTTCTGCTTTCACATGTAAGTGCCTGAAACAGTCGTTGTCATTTTTCAACAAGGTGGAAAAATACCCACCTGAAAATCCCTGACTATAGAGAAGCTCGATCAGTAGAGCCTGGGCTTCTTAATCTCAGGGTTGTGGGTTTGAGCCTCACATTGGGGAAAAGATTCCTGCATTCCAGGGGGCTGGCCTAGATGACCTTTGTGGTCCCTTCCAACTCTGAAATTCTATTATTCTATTTTTTTTAAATGATATTTATTCCAAGTTTAAAATTACAAAAAGAAAAAAAAAATACAAAATACAAAGAAAAATTTAACCATAACAAAGCAAAAAGTAACAAGAAAAAAGTGAACAATAAAATAGAGTAAAAAAGAAGACAAAACAAAAGATATAAAAATGCATTGAGTTAAAATAGAACAAAAACAGATTAAACCTTTACATAACCTTTTCCCTTTACTTATTTCCATGACCTCCTCTCACCTCCCAATTTTGTATTCTAGTTCAGATCGTATTTCCAGCAAATCCTTCTAACCTTATTTTCATTTACGTATTTTAATTTAAAATAATATAGTTAAACATCCTCTGTTTCATCAATTTCATCAACTCATTTTTGCTTAATCCTTTATATCATATCTACCAAAACGACCTAATTTTCTTTTTCCAACATCTTTCTAACAGTCTTTTATATTACAATATTTTTGAAGATATATTTTGAATTTTTTCCAATCTTCTTCCATCGACCCTTCTCCCTGGTCTCGAATTCTGCCAGTCATCTCAGCCAGTTCCATGTAGTCCATCACTTTCATCTGCCATTCTTCTCGGGTGGGTAATTCTTGTGTCTTCCAGTACTTTCCGATGAGTATTCTTGCTGCTGTTGTAGCATACATAAAAAAAGTTCTATCCTCCCTTCGCACCAATTGGCCGACCATGCCCAGAAGAAAGGCCTCTGGTTTCTTCAGGAAGGTATATTTAAATACCTTTTTCAATTCATTATATATCATTTCCCAGAAAGCCTTAATCCTTGGGCATGTCCACCAAAGGTGAAAAAATGTGCCCTCAGTCTCTTTACATTTCCAACATTTACTATCTGGCAAATGATAGATTTTTGCTAGC